TTTTTTTTTTGAAGTGCGTAAGTAACATTCGACAGAGGTCAAGGAGATATAACTGTCTGTGAAAACGTTTTTGAAATACACCAATCCACTGCAGTAGCCAGAAAGGCAAACCGCGGAATAGGCAGAATAGCTATCCAAAATTCGTTACACGATCCGCTGCCCATGCGTTCGCTCTCTGAGCACCCATTTCGGAGGTGGCTGCCAGCGGAATAGGAGTCGATAGCGGTAACTGATCCGATGATGGCAGTTAGACGGTCGCAAGCAACGACGTCAACCGCCTGCCCAACGCAAGAATTCGTTGTTATAGTGAGGTAGACTTGCACAACCTCAACCGCACTCCCCCACCCTCTTGCCTCACCAATTTCAGTCTAATTACCAGGGAATGTCAAGACGAATAGATGTGAACTCGAGCGCATGAGCTTAACAGTCTGTCTAGGAATGCTACACATGATCTGGTCACCGCGGTATGAACTTTGGCGCTGTCCACCGCAAGCGGTCACATGATCGCTGATGTTGGTCTGTTTCTGGGACAGCCGATGACAGGTGTCATAGACTGCTATTGGCCAAGCAGTTGATCGAGCGGTCAGTGGCTCCCTCTTCCATGATGTTTAGGCCTTCACGCCTACAGCGCGCTACCAGACAGACGCCCGCGGAGGGTCCGAGCCTGCCGCGCGTCGGGGCTTCGGACCACCACACTGAGTTTCTGCATACAATAAACAACTCCTACTGGTCTTACCCCTCCTTCCTATAGGGAACTAGGCATGATAATTGTAGTGCTCTGTGCACACCTACGGCTGAGAACCCTACAGTATCAGACTATTATTAGAGAGACTCAGACTTCACATGCGTCAGAGTGCCATACAGACTATGTTGGTCATCGCAGCTGGGCCCTCAGTTCTGAAAAGGACAGAATTAGTGAGGAAAGAAATGTGCTAAGGGTCGATCTTACTTTCTCCCCCACTACCAACAACAGGCCACTGACTAGCTGATTGGTCGCCTGAGGTGGGATGGGAGCAGCCGGGTCACACATACCGACACATAAACCGACTACCCTACACTCGGAACCAGGAGCGTATTCAATTTCGCCGCCACAAATACAATTGTTCAAGATGTGAGCAAGAAAAGTCGTAGGTTGATGGGAACCTGGAGCTCTGTTGACAACTCAGCCAACCATCACATGAACCTCTCTCCACACAAAGTCCTGGACAGTCGGCTATGAACGGCTAGCTGCCACCGTTGATTGGGCAAATTCTCCAGAGTGACTGTTAAGTCTGGTTCCCGTGGGACCTCAAGAAGTCAGATAAATATGCAAAGAACCTAATCCAGGGAGGAGACCTCTTGCTTGCATGAACAATTACGCAAGACTTGAATAATTGCCTCTACTTACTGGAAATCGTGTTGAAAAACCGCATTGATTTGGCAGGAGAATCTTGGTAATATAGGCAGATAGTATTGGAGACTGGAATAATCATTTCTGGCTTATTAGTCAACGTCAGTCAGTCATACCCAGACCCAAGTGGTGGTTCACCCGAGCCTCAAACTCGTGACCTTTCTCATCACAGTCAAACGCCTTAACTACTAAGCCATGCGCTCGTTGTCTCGCCGGCTTAGGGATATCGACAATCGCTGATGAACGTTCACCTGACCGCTGACGGAATATATCTGTCTCACTCTGCCTTGGGCCTCGACAGCGGTCCTGACA